TCAAGGGTGTAATCTAGACCAGTGAGGGGTTGTGTCACTACCTGTCCTGCAACCCTGAGTGCCGCATAATGCTTTGATGTTGCAGCTCTCATAGGCGCTGACTCTGTGGGTGCTCAAGGGCTGGAGCATCCATGGGGAAAACGGCAGCCCACTTATAAGCTCCCCCCTACCCTCCAGCACCTCCCACCCGTCAGCAAGCCCCATGGATCAGCGCCTCCCCCTCCCTCCCGCAAGCAGCTGTTTCATGGTGGTGTGCAGGGAGGCTGGGAGGGATGGAGTGGAGACAGGGCCTGGGACAGAGCCCAGGGTTGAGCACCCCCCGGCACCTGTGATAGCTCCCAATCCAGGCCTCTCACAAACAGACTTCAAGCATACAGGTCACAGCTTGAGTGTCTGTGTATAGCTGTAGCCCTGGTCCAGCAGCTGGGACCCCATGAGCCTGTCAGCAACACACCAATCACACTCTGGATTCCACCAGCCTTGGTTACTAATTGCAGGGTGACTCCAACACAATCCCAGTCCTGAATTTTTCCAAAAACATGTTCTGCACTGTCCACCCCTCTCCGGTCCAGTTCAGATATCAAGGTTTCTTGCTCCTGACCAGTCAATATTCATCTGTTTCATACTTTAATTGGAGTCACCAAACAGTTTAAACACAACACTGGATGAGTTTAGATTAAAAAATAATACAAGTTTATTAATGAAAGAAGTTAGGATTTTAAGTTAATTCAAGAATGGTTACAAGCAAATAAAAGTGAAAACACATCGGAAAGTCTAAAACTTAAACTAGCAAGTTTTGGTTCAAGGCTTTGTTTAAGATGGTCTGTCTTACCCATAGTCTTCCAGCAAGATGGTGACTGTCCCTTTCCTTGGTCACGGTCTCTCCCAAAGACGGTGGTGCCTTTTCTTCTTAGGTGAAAGAGAGAGAGAGAGACCTGTTTAACAACTTTTGCCTAGGCAGGGCTGTGTGGTTTTGGATATGTGCTAACAACATCATAAGTTTACATATACTGTTGCTACATACAATTCACTATGATTTTACTGATCAGTTATTAGTTTTCAAACAATACCTCACAAGACATATTTTGTACAAAGATTACTACAATAGTGTGTAGGATGTGAATACGGGGTGCTTTCAGTCACAGCATCAATTGCCACAACTGTGATTTAGTTAATTTCTTTACATGCTCTGTCACATAAACCACTGAAATATCATTTCTTTTCCCATGACAGACACCAAGTTACATAGATAATATATCTGATTTGTCTAAAAATGCTTAAATAATAATAAAGGCCAACCCTAGGTCCCACTGAAGTTAATGACAAATCTCCAACTGGCTACAATGGGAACAGGATTTAGCCATTACAGTCTGTGGGCCCTGTCCTGAGAGGTGCTAAGTGCCCACTGACGTCAATGAGAAGTGAGGACATTCAGTATCTCGCATGGTCAGGTCCTACGTGAGTTTAGGAACATCGGAAATGTCATGTTAAATAAGAGCAGTGGTCCGTCTAGTCCAGTGTTCTGTCTCTGCAATAACCAACACCAGATACTCCAGAGGAAGGTGCAGCAAACTTCACTGTAGGACAGACTGGTAGGAAGGACAGTAGGACCAGCAACAGCCCAACCATGTTATCAAGAATGTCCAAAACTGGAGACTGGAGATATTGCTGCACCTGTTAATGCTGTAAAGGCAGCTTGGGTCTCTGCCACTGCCTTATTAAAAACCAGTTCAGGAACTTGCTTGCTATGGATTTTTACCAGGTTGGGTGCCACTTTTGGGTCAGTATTATGTTCAGTGACTCCTGGAACTGAGCTGTGCTAGACACCTGGGATGAGGAGCAGTTCCTCCAAAACTTCCAAGTATGAAGACCCTTCTTTGCCTCCAGAGGGCTTGCCCCAAAGTTGGAGCTCTGTTCACTGTAGCCAACAAGTGATGGTTACTCAGCAGAAGCTGACAACCCCAGATACAATGTCAGTCACTGGGATGCGCATTCAGGATTGGGAAGCCCACACTGGAGGCTGATGAGTTGCTGGTGTAATGGCAATACATAAAGTTCTGCAGGGTATTAAATCTGTAGCTAGGTTTGCAGCTGGCACAGGAATCTGGCCACTATTGTGGGAGGTGCTGACAGCAAGCTAATTCAGGCAAGCGGGTGGGGCCTTACTAAATTCAGCTACAAACAGCAGAAAAGTTAGCCAATTTCTCTGTCTTCTCTGATCTTTGCAAATAATGTGATGCAAGATTCTTTTGATCTGGACCTGTTTTGAACCGACTGCCCACGTCTATCCCCTGCAGCCAGCTCCAGGACCAACTGAGCTCCCCAACTCCTCCTCCCGTCTCATGATGGCACTGACCCTTCCCCCTTCTCTGTCCCTAACTAGCCCCAAGGGACAAACTGACCAAGCCCTACCTCTTGCCTCCAGCCAGCCCCAGAGACTGATAGAGCCCCTGCGCTAGGGACCAACTGATCCCCTATCCATTCCCACCCACTGACAGGTTGTTGGGACCTGCCAACAGAGTCCCCAATGAGCTTCCCTCCTCCAGAAGACCCAGGGTGCCTTTCCCCTTCCACTATTGCTCAGCAACTGTGCCCTGGATGCTACTGTGATGTTGCACTCCATATGTTTTATGGAAATATGCTGATGAGTGTGAATATAATGTAACTGTAACATACTTTATGCAAAAGGTCTCTTGTATGGTACCATTACAAAGCTTATAATCTACTGAGTGTGTTCATCCTATTTGTATTAATGTATCATTCTTGTATCTGAAACTAGGTGTATGAAGTATAACTCTGGGGTCCAACTGTAATTATGCAAAGCGTGGGCTATTAATGGTGGTTTGGAATCTGGATGGCTCCCATTAACTAGGACAATTGCTTGTAAATGGCTCTGTTTACTTGCAAACCTTTCTGGGTGCGTGCGGGTCAGCCCTGGAATAATGGAGGGTGGGGTCTCACAGGACATCTGACCATGTCACCGGGTAATTAAATCCATTTTAAATCTGGTACTTTTCCATTTAGAAAGAGGGGTGGGGACCCAGAAAAACAAAAGATTCCCACCTTGGCCCACAGCTATAAAAGGGGATGGAACAGAACAAAGGGGCTGCCAGTCATGAGAAAACCCCTAGTTACCAGTGAGCTGAAACTAACAAGGACTGTACCAGGGGAAAGGATTGGGCCCAGACTAGAAAGGAATCTAGTCTGTGAGAGAAGCTTATTGGAACATCTCTGAGGGTGAGATATTACCTTTATCAGTTTCTTAATATATTAGGCTTAGACTTGCATGTTTTTGCTTTATTTTGCTTGGTGACTTTGTTCTGTCTGTTATTACTTGAAACCACTTAAATCCTACTTTGTATATTTAATAAAATCACTTTTGTTTATTCATTAACCCAGAGTAAGTGATTAATACCTGGGGGAGCAAACAGCTGTGCATCTTTCTCTATAAGTGTTACAGAGGGCGGACAATTTATGAGTTACCCTGTATAAGCTTTATACAGAGTAAAACAGATTTATTTGGGGTTTGGATCCCATTGGGAACTGGGTGCTGGAGATAGGTGACCTGCTGAGCAGTTTTTGGTTAAAATCTGCAGCTTTGCAGGGGGGAGGTGTGGACCAGACCTGGGTCTCTGTTACAGCAGGCTGGCGTGTCTGGGTCAACAAGGCAGGGTTCTGGAAGTCCCAAGCTGGCTGGGAAAACTGGCTCAGAGGTAATTCCAGCACATTAGGAGACAGTCTCAAGTGGGTCTCTGTGACCGAACCCATCACAGCTCCCTCCAACCCATCTATCAGGTACTGGCCAAGGCCGCCGCTTCACCCTCCTACATGTGCACCGTAGCAGGCTTTGCTACTAGATTGGTATAGTGAAAGTTATCTAAAAACATTAAAATGGCCATAATAAGTCAGATCAACAGTCTATCTAGCTTAGTACCCTGTCTTATGCCAGATGCATCAGAAGGAATGACCAGAACAGGTTATTATCCAGAGATCCATCCCCTGTCATCCAATCCCAGCTTCTGGCAGCCAGAGGCAGGGATGCTGAAACATGTGAGGCCAAGGGGTCATGACCCTCCCATTTTTGAAAGTGGACAGTCCTGTCCCGTCCCTTTTTGCCAAGGGCCCAGCCCCCTGCCCCTCCTCTTCACTCCTAAGGTCCTATACCCCGGCCAAGCCAGAAGCTGGAGCCCAGCCTGGATAAGAGTGGCCCAGGGAGCCACGGACCCTCTGTCTGCCCAGGGTGGGTGTGGGCCTGAGAGCAGCCCCTGGCCTGTGTCCCCAACCCCTTGCCCAGGGCAGATGGAAGGTCCCCGGGTCCCCACAGCTGTCTGTGCAGCTCTTTCCATGGCCCGGCTGTGGCTCTTTGGTCCCCAAGGCCCCATCCCCAGCCAGAAGCTGGAGTCAGGTTGGGGTAAGAGCCATGCAGGCAACCGTGGGGAGCCACAGACCCTCCACCTGCCCTGGGCAGGGGACCTGGGGCTGCTTTCAGGCCACTCCCCACCCTGGCGGGGTGGAGGGGTCCAGGTTCCCCAGTCCAGCTCTGCCAGGGGGTAGGGCCTTGGGGAAAGAGGAGGGCCAGTGCCGGGGGTGGGGGAGGACTCAGAGCCCCTTACTTTTAGGAAGAATCGGTGGCCTTTGGTCAGAGATTTAAGGACACTCAGGGCATGCGGTTGCATCCCTGACCATCTTGGCTAATAGCCACCGAGGGACCTATCCTCCAGGGAGGGCTCTCCTTTTTTGAGCCTAGTTCGGCTTCTGGCCTTCCCAAAACTTACACCAAAGGCTTGGCTGCATGAGCATCTCACGCGGCACCCACAGCTCCCGTTGATTTCCCGGGAACTTCTAAGCCCACGGAGAAGGCAGGCTCAGCCTCGCACCGAAAAGGGGCCACTGGAAACCAGTGAGGAAGCCGCCAGGCCGGAAGGGAGACGCGCGCACGGCGTGCCTGGAAAGAGCTGGAGTCAGGGTTTCGCTGGGGTGCGGCTGGGGCGCGGCTGCCGCTGGCTTCCCCGTGCCCACAAATCCCGGCTTTTCAGGCTCCGCCGTGCGGCCGCTGCTTGCCAGAGAGGCGCGGATCCCGGACCCAGCCGGGGATGGAGCGCCTGGTCCACGCCGCCTTGGCGCAGCTGAGCGAGGAGGAGCTGGCGCGCTGCGCCCTCTACCTGCGGAGCCCGGAGCCGGCGGGCGGCGCCCCGGCCGAGCTCCAAGGCGCAGGTGGGAGCCCGGCGCAGCTGGCGCGGCGCTACGCGGGCCGGGCGGCCGAGGTGCTGCGAGAGGCGCTCCGCGGCATGGGCCGCCGCGACGGGAGCGAGGCGCTGGCCGGGCAGGAAAAGGCGGGAGCCGCGGCAGCGCCAGGTAAAGGCAGCTGGCGGGGGCGGGAAGGGGGTCGGGCTGTAACCTGAGCAGCGCCGCCGGGGGGCGAGGCGCTGAACCGGGCTAGCGGGCACCCGCTACAGCCCCCTCGCCGGCCGCGAGCTCCGTTCCGCGCCGCGGCGAGGGGCCTCTCGCAGCTAGAACGGAGCGGGGACTCCGACCGCCTGCCCAGACAGCCCCCACCCCCGGGCTAGTGCGGGGGGCTGACGGGTGCCTCGCCCCCGCCCCTGTGGACGGGATTTATTGCGGGCTGGAGCCTGCCGATTTCCTCCCCTGCCCGCCTGCAGCATTCCGGCCCCTTGCCGATCAGCTCCGTGAGCAGTGACCCCACCCCCCGCCCCTTTCAGTCCCTGTGTGTGTGTGTGTCTATGGGGTTAATATTAAAAACCGAATAACAGCTTTCAGCCCCCACTGCCCAGCCACAAAACAGGGCTCTGTGTTTAAAGAGCCAGGGGAGCCCTCCAGCTCCCCCTGCCCTGTCTGGTGGAGTTGGCAGCGCTCTGGTTTTGCTGAAGAATTAGACTAGGCAGAGGAAAGCACGGCCCTGCGTTTGAAAGCATGAGAGAGGTGAGTAAAAACGCACGAGATTTGTTAAAATAGGAAATCCGGGGGTGTGTGCGTAGGTACTGACAGTGCTGGAGATAAAGCTCCCATAGTACGTGGTCCTATTCTCAGAGCCGCTACAGAATTATATTGCTCTGTCAAACTAGCCCTCCTGAACTCTCATTTGTTTCCTGTAGGCACAGCCCCCGTGCATTATCTCTGGATCACAGTTTCAAAGCCAGTGCCATACCCGCAGGCACTATCAACTATGCTCACTGAAAACTAGGACATCTAACCTCGTGAATTGTGCAATCCACAGGTGGAACCTGCTGCCAGTGAAAATGATGGCAAAACTCCCACTGACTTCAATGGGAGGAGGATTTCACATCACACCTGCAAAACTAAGCCAGGCTCATGAACAGACATTTGTTAATAAGAAATATAAGAGACTGTGCCCAGGCTGGATATTTACATTGCCAATCCTAGTATTATAGCTTTCCTTTTGTATTTGAGAAACTAAACTGAAAACTTAAACAAAAAGAGGGTCACAGAAATAGACTGTAAAGATGTACTTCATGTGACTAAGACAGTAATTTAGAGAGACAGGGTGGGTGAGGTAATATTTTTTTATTGGACCAATTTCTGTTGGTGAGAAAATCAAGCTTACACAGAGCTCTTCTTCCTCCCCTATCTTGTCTCTCTAATATCCTGGGACCAACACAGCTACAACACCACTGCATAAGACAGCAATGACAAAAAATAGTAGACACCAACCCAGGAGCTGGAATCAAAAGGTTTTTCCAGTTTTGTTTATATAATCAAGGTTAATATACTATAACTTGGCAGGTTAAGAGCTGATAGCCAATACAAAATAATGTAAACAGGACATAAACCTGCTATCCTCAATTTTTATATAGGTCTGACCTAAACAAAATCACTGTTTCCTTCATTGAGAATGTTGCATAAGGAAAGCTCATAATTCAGGCAGACAAAGTTTTAAGTGTAGAACAATAAATCTGTTAATATATTAAGGGTTCTGAAGAGATTGTGGTCAGAACAACAGTTTGATACCAATTAAGTAGTACTACTATTTTGTTTAAAATGAGTTTTTCCAAGTTTTGAGATAACAGACTGTTCACTCCTGTAGTTCATTGTATAAAATAGTAGAATGTAGGTGATGCTAAAAAAGGTGAGATGGAATTAAAAGATGATTGAAACTCAATTTACAGACAGCACAGTACAATACAGACAGGGTTTGAACGTTAAACATTTAAAAAGAGGAACACTCCTCTGCAGTCCTCTTCCTAGTTTTAACAACTTATTTTAAGGGAAGGGAACAGTCTTCCTTTCCAAATCACTCCCTTGAACATAAGACACTTAAATGCAGAATAATAAACCACCAGATAAAGATTTGGAAGTTCGTTTCCAGTTGAGGTAAAGTTCAGCACAGCAAGTTCCCAATGTATGGGCCAGGGTGAGGCTCTGTTTTGGGCTTCTCTCCCCTAGGCCTTTTTGGCCAGTGATTTTGTTTTGGTGCTGCCACTGTTTCAGTTTACATGGTAGTAGCAACAGTAGAAGAACTAGTGTAGATAAGGCAACTGGCAGTATTTTAACCATGGTGTCAAATAAACTTTATCTGAGTAGGCTTAGATAACACTGTGCTTAATATACTGGCAACTGCCTTAAGTCCTAGTCACTGTTGTCACGAATGGTGGAGTTGCGCAACAGTGAGAAACAGAAAAAGCCTAGTTCAGACACAGGCTTATCTCACTTGGTCAAACTGCAGAGCAGGAGAAGCATATTCCTAGGCCTGCAGTGATGTGTGCGTTTAGCATCAGGGGAGGGGTGGATTCTGAATCTGGTTTGTCTCTATAGCAGTTTGCACTGTCCAATGTGTCAACTGAGACTTACAAAAAATGAGGAAAGGAAGATATTAAAAAAGTCATACAAAAACAGCTTTACCCGTCATTTGAGCTGCACTTGTAAATTACTTGTTTTTAAATATCCACACAGCTGCTGTACTGAGAACTGGTGAACAACAAACCACGAATCAGACAAGTGATACAAGTTTTAAAGGAAGATGGACTGAGCAAAGTGACTATGAGGCATTGGTAATTGTATTTATTTTTCAGAAGAGTTCAATGCCCGTGAAGCCCCTGGGCCAAGTTCTCCCAGTTTTATGGGTGCAACTTCCCTGGACTTCAGTGGGAGCTGCCCTTGTGTGACAGAGAGCAGAATCGGCCTGATATTTGTAAATAATTGAATTTTCCTGAATCATTATGCAGTTTTCTCAGGTTGATAAAGATAACATTAAATAGTTTGCTTAACCCTGCTATACAGTGGGCTGGAGCCTGAGTATAGCCAGGTTAAGTGGAATTTCCAAAAGGGGATCTCCCTTGGTATGCAGGTCATGGCCCATCCTATAAACACGACCAGTTGTAGGGTTTGCTACCATGTAACCCCATCAAAATTAATAGGATTATTCATGGCAGTAATCCATATGTGAAGATATGTTTGCAGAATTAGGCCGTTAGCTGTTTCATGGCTGTAACTATAGCCCCTGGACGATAGTAGTGATTGCTTCCCCTATACTCTGTCTACAAGAGGGATTATGGCTAGTGAATCTGCATGATTATGGATCCACTGGCCACTCTCCTCTCCCTCAACACAGGATCAGGCATTGTCATGGAGAGAGTTGGCATGGAGAACTGCTCCTGGAGCAGGATAATATCGTGAGAGAATTTTGAAAAACAGGAAAAGCTTGAAAGCAAATCAGTGTCACATGCAAAATTAAAGGAAGCTATACTTACGCCTAAGATATGAATGCTGGAAATATGCCTGTCAAATTTATTAAATTCCAAAATAAAAATAATGAGAGATGATACAATCCTGGAGCTCACAGGCTCTGCTCCATAAAGGTATTTAGGCTTCTAACCTCCATTGACTTCAATGGAAGTTAGAAGCCTAAATAGATCTTTGTGGAACTGGGCCTTAGAGCTCAGGTATTGCAACAGCACAGAGTAACTTCAGAAAATTACTAGTAATTTTACTGATAACCACATTTCTATATATTGTAGAAAACTAGCATTTGTAGATATGGAATTATTCTATAATATATGCAGTTGGGTTGAAATCCTGGCCCTGTTGAAGTCAGTGGCAAATTTTGCCATTGTCTTCTGTGAGGTATGCATTTCACTCCACTTCACTTGAGACATTATGTCAAATTGTGTCAGATTGTGCCTGGCTTCAATGGGGTTGCACAGGTATAGCTGAGAGCAGAGTTTTTCCATGACTAGAACCATCTGATATTTATCTCCTCTTCATGTATCAACCTAAAGTCTAAGAATTATTTGTTAAACTGAAAGAACGAGGAGTACTTGTGGCCTTATGCTCAAATAAATTTGTTAGTCTCTAAGGTGCCACAAGTACTCCTCGTTCTTTTTGCTGATACAGACTAACACGGCTATCACTCTGAAACTTGTGAAACTGAGGAATGAAAAACATCCATCTTTTTTTCCTCTCCTGAATCAGGCCTATAATGTCAGCATTCTCCTGTGACTAATTTTTATATTGCAACTATCCCCGAAGTGTTGAATGTTCAAGGATAATGTTAACTAGCTTATTTTGTTTATTGCTTGAAATACAGAAATAATTTGAACCCAAATCCTTAAATACAGATTTTTTTTAACCTACTATTGATCATTTTAGATATTTTCTAACTGAAAAATTTGGGCCAAATTCTCCTCAGTTGTGATTTTAAAAAATCACGATTAATTGCAGTTTTAACTGCACTGTTAATAGAATACCAATTGAAATTTATTAAATACTTTGGATGATTTTTTACATTTACATATATCGTGTATTCTGTGTTGTAATTGAAATCAAAGTGAATATTTTTTTACAACTATTTGCACTGTAAAAATGATTAAATGTTTTTTCAATTCACCTCATACAAGTACTGTAGTGCAATCTCTTTGTTGTGAACGTGCAACTTACAAATGTAGATTTTTTTTTTTGTTACATGACTGCACTCAAACAAAACAATGTAAAACTTTAGAGCCTGCAAGTCTACTCAGTCCTACTTCTTGTTCAGCCAAGTGCTAAAACAAACAAGTTTGTTTACATTTAAAGGGAGAAAATGATGCTCTCTTCTTATTTAGTGTCACCAGAAAGTGAAAATAGGCATTTGCATGGCACTTTTGTAGCCGGCATTGCAAGGTATTTACGTACCAGATACGCTAAACATTCGTATGCCCCTTCATGCTTTGGCCACCATTCCAGAGGACATGCTTCCATGCTGATGATGCTCATTAATAAAAATAAAGTGTCTATTAAATTTTTGACGGAACGCCTTGGAGGAGAATTATATGTCCCCTGCTCTGTTTTACCCGCATTCTGCCATATATTTCCTGTTATAGCAGTCTCAGATGCTGGCCCAGCACATGTTGTTAATTTTAAGAACACTTTCACTGCAGATTTCACAAAACGCAAAGAAGGTACCAATGTGTGATTTCTAAAGATAGCTACAGCACTCAACCCAAGGTTTAAGAATCTGAAATGCCTTCCAAAATCTGAGAGGGACAAAGTGTGGAGCTGGCTTTCGGAAGTCTTAAAAGAGCAACACTTTGATGTGGAAACTACAGAACCAAAACCACCAAAAAAGAAAATCAACCTTCTGCTGTTGACATCTGACTCAGATGATGAAAATGAACATTCATTGGTCCGCACTGCTTTGGATTGTTATCGAGCAGAACCCCGTAGTCATAAATATAAAGGGAAGGGTAACCACCTTTCTGTATACAGTGCTATAAAATCCTTCCTGGACAGAGGCAAAGTCCTTTTACCTGTAAAGGGTTAAGAGGCTCAGGTAACCTGGCTGGCACCTGACCCAAAATGTCCCCAACGAGGGGACAAGATACTTTCAAATTTGGAGGGGGGGAAAAAGGCTTTTGTCTGTTTATGTGATATCTTTGCCGGGAACAGATCAAGGATGCAAGCCCTCCAACTCCTGTAAAGTTAGTAAGTAATCTAGCTAGAAAATGCATTAGGTTTTCTTTGTTTTGGCTTGTGAAATTCGCTGTGCTGGAGGAAATGCGTATTCCTGCTTTTGTGTCTTTTTGTAACTTAAGGTTTTGCCTAGAGGGAGTCTCTGTTTTGAATCTGACTGCCTGTAAGATTATATTCCATTCTGATCTTACAGAGTTGTTCTCTTATCTTTTTTTGTTCTTCTAATAAAGTTCTGTTTTTTAAGAATCTGATTGTTTTTTTTGGGTCTTAAAAATCCAAGGCTGATTTGTGCTCATCTAGTTTATTCTCAAGCCTCCCCAGGAAAGGGGGTGTAAGGGTTTGGGGGGATATTTTGGGGAAATAGGAACTCTAAGTGGTCCTTTCCCTGAATGTTTGTTAAATCACTTGGTGGTGGCAGCGTTTACCTAATCCAAGGGCAAAGACTTTGTGCCTGGGGGAAGTTTAACCTAAGCAGGTAGAAATAAGCTTAGGGGTCTTTCATGTGGGTCCCCACATCTGTACCCTACAGTGTTAGAGTGGGGAAGGAACCCTGACACCCATCATCAGCATGGACGCATGTCCCCTGGAATGGTGGTTGAAGCATGAAGGGACATGTGAATCTTTAGTGCATCTGGCACCTAAATACTTTGTAATGCCAGCTACAACAGTGCCATGAGAACACCTGTTCTCACTTTCAGGTGACATTGTAAACAAGAAGCGGGCAGCATTATCTCCTGCAAATGTAAACAGACTTGTTTGTCTGAGTGATTAGCTGAACAAGAATTAGGACTGAGTGGACTTGTAGGCTCTAAAATTTTACATTGTTTATTTTTGAATGCAAGGTTTTTTTTGTACATAATTCTACATTTGTAAGCTCAACTTTCATGACAAAGAGATTGCACTACAGTACTTGTGTGAGGTGAATTGAAAAATACTATTTCGTCTTTTTTACAGTGCAAATATTTGTAAACAAAAAATATTAAGGGAGCACTGTACACTTTGAATTCTGTGTTGTAACTGAAATCGGTATATTTGAAAATGTAGAAAACATCCAAAAATATTTAAATAAATGGTATTCTATTATTGTTTAACAATGCAATTAATCGCGATTAATTTTTTTAATCGCTTGACAGCCCTATTAGCAACACATCAGTTTGATGTTCTAGACCAGTAGTTTCCAAAGTGGGGTGCGTGCAAGACAATCGCTGGGGGTGCGCGGCAGGAGCAGCGCCGGTGGCACACCTGCGGCGGCTCTTCTACGTAGCAGCTCTTCCCTTTTTTTTTCCCCCGTCGGCGGCACACCTGCGGCAGCTCTTCCCCTTCTTTTCTCTGGCGGCATGCCTGCGGCAAATTTTTTTTTCCTCTTGGGGGTGCGCAATCAAAAAAGTTTGGAGACCACTGTTCTAGACAAGGCTATAGAAACCCAATCCTAGAGGTGCTCCCGCAGTCAGTGGGAGTTCTCTTAGCAGAGTAGTTGCAGGATTGGGCCCTCAGTCGTATGTTTCATGTGGAAAAAACATACTGTGTTAGAATGTTGTTGTTCAATTAAGCTACAGCCCATTTGTCAAACATTTTAATTTAACATTTTGAATTAACAGGATATGTATGACATGAGCAAAACCCGTGTGGCTTTTATGATGTGTGTGACAACACACAGGCGCGGTGCAGAAAAGGATATTGAAATAATGAATAAGTGGTTTGACAAGTATCAGTTTGAAACGCCTTCTGGACAGTGCATAGATCCTAATGGGCAGGTAAGTCTTAAAAATTATACCATACCAAGCAGATAGCTTCAAATGGAATGCCTTCCACACCCCCAATAAGGGCTCACTTGGTGCTATTTGAAGCTGTACTGAAGCAGAAGTCAGTACTGTAAAATGTTTAGAAAATATTTTCCCACCAGAGGTATTGATTATCTTTTGTAGATAGGGCTTGGGTTAACTGAAGTCCCTGAAGCTTTGGATGTGAATCCCCTGCAGGCTGATCTTCCCAGGGAAAGGGACAGCCTAATACAGAAATGTTTAAAACTTCAGCTCCCTGGGTGGCAATAGAAATTCTCCAAAAGAGCTCCCCTCCTCCAATACCCCACAAATCCAAATGCTTGGGACACTCAGTTTCCTTATCTGCAGCTGTGTGGCTATAGGCTGGCTGGAGTAACCTCTCTGAATGATTGATTCCAGGCTTGACTTGAGACTAGCTGAGACACAAAAGAAAAAGTTAATTATTTAGAAGGATATAGGGGAGTGGTTTTTTTCTTCCTTCCCCTTTCACCCCTTTATTGCCAATCTGCTGTATATTATTACACTATGGGGCTTCCCCCCTACTTTTGATTGCCCTTTTGTGGAAGGGCTAATCTTTAGGCCTCATGATCTTGGTAAGGGACTGAGGCATAGGCAGTGTGGCCTAGCAATCACAGCTAGGCTGGTATCCACCGGACAAGGATGGCCAAGAGGTGATAATCAGTGAGCAGGGATCAGAGTGATTGCCAGAGTGAAGATCAATGAGGAAGAGTTAGAATCAGGCCAGGGATAGAGTCCACGGAGTCCCTGTTAGCCAAGGAGAGAGGGATAGAGTCCCTGTTAGCCAAGGAGATCTTGATAATGCTGTCATTACAGCATTGCTGAAACTGGCCCCTTTTCTTCCATAAATTCCTTCGTGTATTTCCCAAGATTATAAAATCAAGTACAATATTTGGGTCAGATTCTACCTTTGCTTACACTTGTGCAACACTATTGATTTTAATGGCAGTTGTATCTGTGTAATGGAGAGCAGAATTTGGCCCAACAATGTTATTTCTCTGCGCCTGAGGTAACAAGAATAATTTCTAAAATATTGTTGCACCAACTTCCTGCAAAGTTTTTGTACCATATCATGCTGAAAACCTATGAATTTAAGAAAACGTAAATGTATTTGAATTTTAAAGGTGCCAATATAGACTGCATTGACCACCTAAAATGTAGTATATAAAGTAAAGTGCTTGACAGCTTTCATATTTGCATTTACATTCTAAAGTTATAATTTCTCAGCTCGGTTTCCTTTCTGCTCAGATTCAGTGGCACAGCACCACAAAATCTGCATATGCAAAAGGAAATGCTTGCATTTTAGAATTCAGGCTCATTCCTGGTATTAAAATGCAAGGCTGCAAAAGCTAATCTGTATCCCTATTTACAAATGAGCCCACCCAATCTTGCTCCCATTTAAGTCAATTGGAATTTTGCCATTGATTTCAGGGGGAATAGGATAAGACCTTAGGGATTTCAGTGGGAATTCTGGGGGCACAGCTGCAGAACTGACTTTTAAATACTCTCATGACTCTTCTTTTAAGGAGTTGAGTAAAATTAGATTAGTGGCAGGCAAATGTCAAATGGTTAGGAAGTTCTGTAAACTTGTAATTATAAAGCAAACTTTTTAGAATCTCTTTATTTGGGGGCAAAAGGGCTCATGGACTTTCCATCGCCACATCCCCATTCTGGAGCATTTTTAAATTAAACAAAGTACACATTTTGAGGACTCAATTTATTTCAAATGAAGAAATGATGGGAGCAATGGCAAAGGAAGAGTTTTGAAGGGTAATTAACTGGGACTTGAGCATATTTACCAGGGAAAAAAAAATACACATGCCAAGATCTTTGTCTGCCTTCTATCAAGCCTGTAATTACTTGATATATTTTTGTAGCACAGCAGGCACTCACTGCCATGGTGCCTCCTGCTGGTCATCCAGGAATTAGCTCTGTTCCAGTCTTAGAGTGCCTCCCGCTGGCCAGTGTCTTCCTACTGGTGCCTGCTTCCTCCTGATTTCCACCACTTATAGCACTTCAGGCCCCATGTTCCTCCCAGACCCCGGTGCCCCTTACCTTGGGGTGCTGCCCCGCAGCTGTGCCCCCACACTCTGGGTCTTCCCTCCCCAGGGAACCCCAATTCCTTAATCCCACCTCACCTCAGTGACCCACTGTCAGTCCTCATCTAGCCCCTTCCCTCAGGGGCAAACTGCAGTTTGAAGTGGCCACTCATCATTGGCAAGAGGGTTTGGACCTGTTGCCTTTCCAGTCCCAGCTGCCTCCCTGCAGCCCTAGTACCTCCCCTGGCCTTTAGCAAGGCCTAAACCTGGGGACTCACCAGGCCAGAGCGCCTCCGCTCTGCCTCAGGTACCCTGCTTGCTCTCCCAGACAGCCTGTTCCTCTCTGGAGCAAGAGTGTTCTCTCATTCCCTCAGCATGCCCTTTTATCAGGGTCAGCTGGACCCTAATTGGGTGTGTCCACACCTGTAGCTGTTTACCCAACCAGCCTCCCTCGGCTGCTTTTAACCGCTTCTTAACCAGAGTGGGGTGACTGCACCGCTACAATTTTAGATGAATAATACCAAGTGTATTGCTCAACTACAGCAGTTTAGAGTCACAAATCCTTACAGGTCTGATTATGATCTCACTTTGCAAGCATAAATGAGGATCTATTTTTATGAATTTGCTGAGGTGCCAATTAGATTTTAAAGATGAAATCTAACAAACTAAATTTGTCAATTTGATAAGTTTTATAGCTAATATAGGAATGGAATCTAGTTAGGATAACTCCTTTTTATTGAGTCCAGGGAGCATAATTTACTAATTTTAATGCAAGATTCTATTCACGCCAGCTTTTACTTTTGATTTGAGAAATACTGGTTCCAGACATGTGATGCTCTTAATCAATTAAGGTTTTGATAATTCACCCAGAACCACATATGTGTACAATCAACCGTTCATCAATCAAGCGTAGACATAGCCAATGTTCTAGGTGTGTACTGAACAGAAAAATAAAGCCTTGCAAGCAACTATCATAGACTAAGGTTGAGATTTTGCAGTTATCTCATATACCAGTACAAATCACCAACATTCCTAATTACACTTACTTATGATCATCTGTTGTCAATTCTTTAGTACTTCCAACACATTTACCACTCTTCCCATATTTCTCCAAGTAGTAAGGATGCACTTGTCTTAAAGATACTTTTAAGAATCCCTGTTGTTTGAATGGGGTGACATGGAAGGGACAAATTTAAATTTTAAAAACAATTGTATAAATTATGGTTTTAAATCTTTTAGGCCAGTTTGCATGGGCTTACAAAGACGAGCATGCTTATAGCAATAGTTAGTTAATATGCAACATATAGTTACTTGAGGTCTCACTAAAGAGTGTAGACTCAAGGTAACTTTCAGTTATTTATATTCAAGATCAGAAAGAGAAATACAGGCTGAGGTGAAATCTCACCATTTCTTTGTCCTGTAACCCAAGAGGAAGTGAGAGCTGTTCACGAAGCTGGTCAGTGTCCAATAGCACATTCGGGTTCTGCAGCTAATCTGTAAGCTCCTCTTCCTGTAACCCTGGATGAAGGGAGTGGCTGTTTGAAGGGGATAAGCTAAACTCTGGGGTCCCATAAGGTGACCCAGTTTATGTATCCTGTTTCAGGGTCTGTTGGAGAAGGGCAATCCTCTGATATTCTATCTGATATTGTCTAACTGAGGGCTCAGATTTCAGCTGTTTCTCTTTTGTTTCCATTGGTATCCAGTAGATGGCATGAGCATATAACAAATTTCTTCAATCCTTTTCTTATCGGAAGCTTTTTATGTTGGATTAATTTCAAGGATTTTTATTTCAATCCTCCACAGACTAGCCTGTTTGCCCTAAAGCATGGGGTCACAGCACTACTCAGGTTTGGCAGAGCCACTGGTTTCATGACAGAGGGGTGGTCGGACAAAATTTGAGTGAGTAGCGTTTTGACCTGGTGCACAGGGTCACAACACCACTCAAATTTGGCCCGTCCCCTGTTTGTCATGATGGAAGGGTGGCCAGACCAAATCTGCCGTCCCAGGCTGCTGCCCAGAAATCTACCACCCTAGTCAGCTGCCTAGTTTCCCTGTAGCTAGTGCAGTCTCTGATGATGGGAATGTATTGATTCTCATTATCTTTAGCTCCAAGAGGAAGCTAAAGGTTTGGAATATGCATAAGGGCAATTGGTAGCAGTCTAAGGCTATGTCTACACTGCGCATCTTACAGCGGCAGACCTGTGCCACTGCAGCAGTGCTGTTGTAAGATATGCAGTGTAGCCACTCTTTGTCGGCAGGAGAGAGCTATCCTGCTGACAAAATAAAACCACCCCCAATGAGGGGTGGTAGCTTTGTCGGCAGGAGAGCATCTCCCACCAACAAAGTGCTGTCCGGCGCAGGGCAAAGGAGTGGTTTTTTTCACACCCCTGACCGACAAAAGTTTTCCCGACAAAAGTGCAGTGTAAACATAGCCTTGGTTGCTGCAGACAGAAGGACAGAGTGAGAACTGTAGCTGTTAACAATGTTTTTCAGGGCATGTTTGATACCTCTGGCTTCTTGCAACTTACAGTAGCTTTATATTAATATAACTCTAATGACCTTAGTGGGGTTACTCCTCATTTACAATTATGTGAGTGGTATCTGAAGCGGGCTCTAAGGCCCCAATTCAGCAAGGTACTGCCTGGGACCTCACTGTCTACTTATTGGTAGGTTAGCACAACCAGGCAGAGGCACACAGAACATCTTTTTATTAGTGTATGAGGGCACAGAGCCAGCTCCCCTCCTGCCAATGATGCTGCTGACCAAACACAGTTTTGTTTTCTTCCTACAGCAGGAAGCACATTCACTCCTGAACTACCTCTCAGAGTTACTTCCTGCATCAGGGGCCTTTCCCTGCTGGGAAGAACCGCTCACTTAGGAGCTATCTGTTGATGTGCTCAGAAACACCCACTCATACAGTAACTGTTACAATGTTTAAGAAGAAAGTGACAGACTTTATGCATGTGATTGGTACCACTGATTTCAATAAGACTTGTTCACATGCCTTGCTGGCTTGGGCTCTAGATCAAGAAGGGAAGAAATCTAAATCACAAGGCTGTGGGGGAAGAGCTGCCATAATACAGCTTTTTGTTAGCTATTATTATTTATTTGTATTATAGTAGCATCTAGGAGCCCGAGTCATGGACCCACTATGTACAGTTAATGACACTGCAAGGTGTAGTAGTGGCTTTAAAAATACTTTTTATGGCTAATTCAATTGGTCCTTTAGCCTTATTGTTATTTCATTTGTTAATCTCTTTTGAGAATTAATTATTTTGATCAGCGTATCTAACACAGCTGTTTGTGACAGGAAATACTGCCAGCATTGGAAGAGTTCCGGGATCAAATCAATCAATCTGAGGATGAAATTAGCTGCTGCCTCATTGCTCTTATGAGTCATGGGAGGAGTCACGGCATCATTCAGGGGAAAGATGGTGACACAGTTGATCTTGATGATATATTTGCATTGTTCAACAATGTACAATGCCCAAAGCTCCAAGAAAAACCTAAAATCTTTATCATTCAGGCATGCAGAGGAGGTGAGTAGGACATTAAATAGTGTTTGCAGGATTTCAGAATTTCGGCTTCTTTCTATGAAGGTTTCATTTCAAGTCTCTATAAAGGGCCTAGAGTATGTGTAATTAAATCTAGTCCAGTGACCTCAGCAGTTCTCTGTACTCTGGTGTTGGTGTTGGACAGCTGGATTCAGTCCCAGTTCTGGTCTCTCAGTCTCGAAGCAGCCAGCATTGAAAATAACACAGAGAACATGCGTTCCACCCAGAGGGGTGGCAGTGCCTTGCGTTACTGCACAGTGACATCCTGGCCTTTTAAGGACACCCCGTTACAAAATGCCAAAATGTATCTAACCTATCCTCCTAACACAGCAGAACGGTGGAGGTGACAGGGGCTCAAAGTTAGAAGTGGAAAATGGGGTAGTCCTCAGGGCTCTGACTGGGAAACTGAAGACAAACCCCTTCCTTACAAGAAAAGGTGTATAAGGCCTGACTTCAACTAGTGCCTGCTCTTATTGGGCAACCTTCTGGCTTAACAGTTTGCAAATTATCCACAAGGGTATGGAGTACAAATATCTATCTTCTTAGAAAGGCCAGCTTTGCCAAGCGACAGACTTTTTTCAAAAAGAAAAGGAGTACTTGTGGCACCTTAGAGACTAACCAGTTTATTGAATTGGTTAGTCTCTAAGGTGCCACAAGTACTCCTTTTCTTTTTGCGAATACAGACTAACACGGCTGTTACTCTGAGACTTTTTTCAGTCAATTGAATAGTCCCACAAAACCAGTTTCACTGATGAAATGCTTGTGGGGATTTGCTATATATAAGGGTGTGTCTACACTATGATATTAGGTCGAATTTATAAAGTTGGTTTTGTAGAAAGCGTTTTTATGCAGTTGATTGTGTGTGTCCCCACACAAATGCTCTAAGTGCATGTTGTCAGCAGAGTGTGTCCACAGTACAGAGGCAATCATCAACTTCCAGAGCGTTGCACTGTGGGTGGCTATCCCACAGTTCCCGCAGTCTCCGCTGCCCATTTGAATTCTGGGTAGAAATCCCAGTGCCAGATGGGGCTAAAACATTGTTGCGGGTGGTTCTGGGTACATATCGTCAGGCCCCCGTTCCCTCCCTCTGTGAAAGCAAGGTCAGACAATTATTTTGCGCCTTTTCCCTTGAGTTACCTTTGCAGACGCCATACCACGGCAAGCATGGAGCCCGCTCAGCTAACCATCACCATATGTCTCCTGGGTGCTGGCAGACGTGGTACTGCATTGCTACACAGCAGCAGTTTATTGCCTTTTGGCAGCAGACAGTGCAGTATGCCTAGTAGCCATCATCGACGTAGTCCTGGGTGCTCTTTTGACCGGGCGCCTGGGCAAACGTGGGAGTGACTCAGCCAGGTCATTTCCCAGGTCATTCCCTACCGGCAGTGCACTGTCTTTTAACCTCCAGCTAGCAGAAGATGATGGCTAGTCGTCATACTGCACTGTCTTCTGCCGAGCACCCAGGAGATGACGACGGCTAGCGGTCATACTGCACAGTCTGCTGCCAGCAAGACGTATAAAGATAGATGAAGTGGCTCAAAACAAGAAATAGACCAGATTTGTTTTGTATTCATTTTCTCCTCCCTCCTTCCCTCCCTCTGTGAAATCAACGGCCTGCTAAACCCAGTTTTGAGTTCTATCCTTGAGGTTTTGAGTTCTATCCTTGAGGGGGCCATTCAGTTTCTTGCAAAGCCACCCCCTTTGTTGATTTTAATTCCCTGTAAGCCAACCCTGTAAGCCATGTCATCAGTCGCCCCTCCCTCCGTCAGGGCAACAGCAGACAATCGTTCCGCGCCTTTTTTCTGTGCAGACACCATATCACGGCAAGCATGGAGCCCGCTCAGATCACTTTGGCAATTAGGAGCACATTAAACACCACACGCATTATCCAGCAGTATATGCAGCACCATAACCTGGCAAAGCGATATTGGGTGAGTAGGCGATGTCAGCACGGTGACGTGAGTGATGAGGACATGGACACAGACTTCTCTCAAAGCACGGGCCCTGGCAATGTGGGCATCATGGTGCTAATGGGGCAGGTTCATGCGGTGGAACACCGATTCTGGGCTCGGGAAACAAGCACAGACTGGTGGGACCGCATAGTGTTGCAGGTCTGGGACAATTCCCAGTGGTTGCGAAACTTTCGCATGCGTAAGGGCACTTTCATGGAACTTTGTGACTTGCTTTCCCCTGCCCTGAGGCGCAAGAATACCAAGATGAGAGCAGCCCTCACAGTTGAGAAGCGAGTGGCGATAGCCCTGTGGAAGCTTGCAATGCCAGACAGCTACCGGTCAGTCGGGAATCAATTTGGAGTGGGCAAATCTACTGTGGGAGCTGCTGTGATGCAAGTAGCCAACGCAATCAAAGATCTGCTGATATCAAAGGTTGTGACCCTGGGAAATGTGCAGGTCATAGTGGATGGCTTTGCTGCAATGGGATTCCCTAACTGTGGTGGGGCCACAGACGGAACCAATATCCCTATCTTGGCAACGGAGCACCAAGCTGGCGAGTACATAAACCGCAAGGGGTACTTTTCAATAGTGCTGCAAGCACTGGTGGATCACAAGGGACGTTTCACCAACATCAACGTGGGATGGCCGGGAAAGGTACATGACGCTCGCATCTTCAGGAACTCTGGTCTGTTTCAAAAGCTGCAGGAAGGGACTTTATTCCCAGACCAGAAAATAACCGTTGGGGATGTTGAAATGCCTATAGTTACCCTTGGGGACCCAGCCTACCCCTTAATGCCATGGCTCATGAAGCCGTACACAGGCAGCCTGGACAGTAGTCAGGAGCTGTTCAACTACAGGCTGAGCAAGTGCAGAATGGTGGTGTTGGCGCAGTTTACTGACTCGGTTAGACCTCAGCGAAACCAGTATTCCCACTGTTATTACTGCTTCCTGTGCGCTCCACAATATCTGTGAGAGTAAGGGGGAGACGTTTATGGCAGGGTGGGAGGTTGAGGCAAATCGCCTGGCTGCTGGTTTTGCACAGCCAGACACCAGGGCAGTTAGAAGAGCACAGGAGGGCATGGTGCGCATCAGAGAAGCTTTGAAAACCAGTTTCATGACTGGCCAGGCTACGGTGTGAAAGTTCTGTTTGTTTCTCCTTGATGAAACCCCCCGCCCCTTGGTTCATTCTACTTCCTTGTAAGCTAACCACCCTCCCCTTCTCCCTTCGATCACCGCTTGCAGAGGCAATAAAGTCATTGTTGCTTCACATTCATGCATTCTTTATTCATTCATCACACAAATAGGGGGATAACTACCAAGGTAGCCCAGGAGGGGTAGTGGAGGAGAGAAGCACCAGGAGGGGTGGTGGAGGAGGGAAGGACAAGGCCACACAGCACTTTAAAAGTTTACAACTTTAAAACTTATTGTATGCCAGCCTTCTGTTGCTTGGGCAATCCTCTGGGGTGGAGTGGCCAGGTGGCCGGAGGCCCCCCCACTGCATTCTTGGGCGTCTGGGTGAGGAGGCTATGGAACTTGGGGAGGAGGGCGGTTGGTTACACAGGGGCTGTAGCGGCGGTCTGTGCTGCTGCTGCCTTTCCTGCAGCTCAACCATACGCTGGAGCATATTGGTTTGATCCTCCAGCAGCCTCAGCATTGAATCCTGCCTCCTCTCATCACGCTGCCACCACCTCTCTTCAGCCCGCCACTTACTCTCTTCAGCTCGCCACCTCTCTTCCCAGTCATTTTGTGCTTTCCTGCACTCTGACATTGTCTGCCTCCACGCATTCGTCTGTGCTCTGTCAGTGTGGGAGGACAGCATGAGCTCAGAGAACATTTCATCACGAGTACTTTTTTTTTGCCTTCTAATCTTCACTAGCCTCTGGGAAGGAGAAGATCCTGTGATCCTTGAAACACATGCTGCTGGTGGAGAAAAAAAAAGAGACAGTGATATTTAAAAAGACACATTTTCTAGAACAATGGCTACACTCTTTCATGGTAAACCTTGCTGTTAACATTATATACACAGCACATGTGCTTTCATTCCAAGGTCGCATTTTGGCTCTCCCCAGCATGTGGCTAGCTCCTCACCCCTCCCCGTGGCTAACAGCGGGGAACATTTCTGTTCAGCCATAGGCAAACAGCCCAGCAGGAACGGGCACCTCTGAATGTCCCCTTAAGAAAAGCACCCTACTTCAACCAGGTGACCATGAATGTTATCACTCTCCTGAAGATAACACAGAGAGATAAAGAACGGATGTTGTTTGAACGCCAGCAAACATACACTGCAATGCTTTGTTCTACAATGATTCTCGAGTACGTGCTACTGGCCTGGTGGAGTAAAGTGTCCTACCATGGTGGACGGAATAAGGCTGCCCTCCCCAGAAACCTTTTGTAAAGGCTTTAGGAGTACATCCAGGAGAGCCGTGAATGCCAGGGCAAATTAATCCTTTCACATGCTTGCTTTTAAACCATATATAGTATTTTAAAAGGAACACTCACCAGAGGTCCCTTCTCTGCCTGGCAGGTCCGGGAGGCTGCCTTGGGTAGGTTCAGGGGGGTACTGGCTCCAGGTCCAGGGTGAGAAACAGTTCCTGGCTGTCGGGAAAACCAGTTTCTCCGCTTGCTTGCTGTGAACTAGCTACAACTTCATCATCATCATCTTCCTCATCCCCAAAACCTGCTTCTGTGTCGCCTCCATCTCCATTGAAGGAGTCAAACAATATGGCTGGGGTAGTGGTGGCTGAACCCCCTAAAATGGCATGCAGCAGCCATTTTATAGAAGCAGCATGTTTGGGGCTCAGACCCGGAGCGGCCGTTTGCCTCTCTGGTTTTCTGGTAGGCTTGCCTCAGCTCCTTAAGTTTCACGTGGCATTGCTTCGGGTCCCTGTTATGGCCTCTGTCCTTCGTGCCCTGGGAGATTTTGACAAATGTTTTGGCATTTTGAAAACTGGAACGGAGTTCTGATAGCACGGATTCCTCTCCCCATACAGCGATCAGATCCCGTACCTTCCATTCAGTCCATGCTGGAGCTCTTTTGCGATTCTGGGACTCCATCATGGTCACCTCTGCTGATGAGCTCTGTATGGTCACCTCTGCTGATGAGCTCTGGCCAGCGTGGCAAGCTGTAGGTGACCATGCAAACAGGAAATTGAAATTCAAAAGTTTGCAGGCCTTTTCCTGTCTACCTGGCCAGTGCATCTGAGTTGAGAGTGCTGTCCAGAGCGGTAACAATAGAGCACTCTGGGATAGCTCCCAGAGGCCAATACCGTCGAATTGTGTCCACAGTACCCCAAATTCGACCCGGCAAGGCCGATTTAAGCGCTAATCCCCTTGTTGGGGGTGGAGTAAGGAAATCGATTTCAAGAGCCCTTTAAGTCGAAAAAAAGGGCTTCATCGTGTGGACGGGTGCAGGGTTAAATCAATTTAACGCTGCTAAATTCGACCTCAACTCCTAGTGTAGACCAGGGCTAAGATACAATATTTCACAAGTACAATTTTATCAAAATTGACACCGAATCAGAATTAATACACTGCCATTTTTTACCAGGAGACTGTGTTCCCTAATTATTAAAAGAAAGAGCTGGGAGCCAAAGAGGAATCAGGGTTCCAACAGGCAGACAGGCTCATAGAGTCCTAGTAGGTTCAGAGAGGCACCTAAAAGTTTGGATACCTACATGAATCTTATTCTAATCATCTGAACCTCATAGATCTCCAAAATGGAGATAGAAAGCTTCCAAGAACAGGCTCTTTCATGATATTTTGTGGGGCTCTGAGAAAGATGTAACCAAAACCTGAACCCACCCCAGTTCAGAGCAGACTTTAGGTTTTAATGCAAGTCAAACATCAACCAAGATCCATGGTTGTTTGCAGACTTGAGCTGTTGCTATTTGCACAACTTTAGACATTATTGTCCCCTATAAGCCACTGCCCCCACAGCCAGGCCACACCTTCCTCCCAGACATTGAGACTGTCTGGTAGAGTTGGTTGATAAAATTATTTTATTTATTTATCATTACAATATTTGAAATTAAATTGTTGTTTTAATTCTTCAGGTTACTGAGATACATAATTTTTGTTTTCAAAATCTTTAGTGAAATTTTCATCAATTTTTGGTTTCAAAATGTTTGTTTTCAGTATTTTTGATTTTTGATTTTTTTGTTTTTTCTTTTACCCCTTTTTCTTCTTCTTTTCCATTTTTTTCCAGTTTGCAGGGAGGGGTAATGGAAAAAAGAAAGGGGGGGGGAGGAAAAATGACAAACCAGAAAACTGAAATAAAAAGAAGAAAAATGCTGTTATTCATTTTCTAATTTTGAGTTTAAAAAGTAAGAATTTCTGATTTTGATAAAATAATATATTTAAACAAAATGTACTTTACTCAAGAAGTTTCCTCAACTCTGCTATCTAATAATCCATCTAGCTAGATTACCACCATATCTCAGTCGCTGCATTCCTTCAGTAGCTATAGGTGGGAGTGCCAGGATGGGAAAATATTCTGATACCTTGTAGCTTTTGTATAAGAGGAACAAGTGTATAAACAGCAGCCCATACATGCAAGTCACTTGGAAATCATTTGACACCAGGCAGTCATTTTACAGTGTGTTTAAACATATTTCCTTGTCATAAAAACAGGAAAAGAAGACCATGGAGTTGAAGAAATAGAGCATGAATTCAAGGAAGCTGATTGTACTTATAACTTGATAGCTATCAGGAGGTTGCCAACAGCTAGTGATTACTATGTCGTGTATTCCACTCAAAAGGGTAAGAGAGATGAGGCCAAGTTAGGCCCCAATTACATGAATTGTGGTTGATTCCAGTCAGGGTTTGTGTGCATGAGAGTAGAATTTGACCCTTTATAAATGCAATTTCTGACTGGTTTTTTTGGGGGGAGGGGGATCCAGTTCCACTTTAGTATAGTAGTTGTTATCCCCATTCTACAGAGAGGTTAAATGACTTGCCCAAGGTCACACAGGAAAGCTTGTGGCAGAGCTAGAATCTCTTAACTCTAAGCCCTGTTCTTTAAATACAAAAGCATTTCTGACATAGGCTTTGGGGTCTTTCAATAACTTGTATTTCATAGTATGGGGAAAAGGGTAAGATATTTATACTGAGGAAAATACAATTTTCCTCTATTGGGGCCAATATCCAAACAGGATACAGAAGGAGAATGTGAATTCACATCAGTAGTCGTTGTATGGGGAACAGACTTTTCAATTCCCCAAATGGTGAAACTGCGCCTAAGTGGAAATGCTGATGTAACCTCACCCTGATATGATAATGAACTCTAACAGCTGGGAGGTGGCCTGGAACAATGGCCTGATGAGCAGGCCCTAGTCGAATAGAGAGACTTTTGAGACCCAGTAGGGAGAGGCAGTCTCAGGTTGTCCTGACAGAAAGGGGGTCAGTAAATGGACACTGATTTCAAAAGATGTAAATTTTTTATTTTATTTTCTCTACATTTAAAGGCTCTTTTATATAGGAAAATTATACTAATCTAGGGCCTGAATTTAAACCAATATAGGACTGCTGGTGTAACACCCCATGTGGACACTCTTATTCTACTGTGAGTGCCTTTTTCAGTTTAGCGTATGTCACTTGGAAAAACTAAAGCAAAAAAAGATTTTCTTTACTAGACTGTGTGTATCCACTCAGGAGGGAGGGTGTGTATGTAGTGCTGGTAGAGCTATACTGGGAGTTAGGTGCCTAGGCGCTTTTGACAAATCCCACTAGGTTCCTATCTGCTTCTTAGGAATCTAAATATCTTTTAAAATCTTGCCCATAGTTAGGAAACCAGGTAAGTGACTGTTTTTTGGCAGATGCAGCTGCTCAGCATCTCTGAAAGAAATTAGCTGCTGCTGAAGTCAAAACTGACATGGCTATTAATAGCAGTGTTCACCACTCAGAAAACGGAAGCCTATCACACCTCCAGTTTACTGAAACCCCAGGCAAAAGAATTGTCAAACACAGCTTCTGATGGAGAATTTTACTTTACATGAATAACAAGGTGGGGAAAAATCCACTAAAATTTGGTGTCACATGGGTAGACTAAGGCACTTGTGCTATATCATGATGGAATGAAAAACAATGCGTCAAATTCTTCATTGGATTTTGAGCTGGCATTGTTCAGTTTCATCTGTAACTAGTATATTCTAACCTAGTGAGTGGGTGGTGGGGGGGAGAAGGGATCAATAATGTGTGTTTGCATTTCTTTGTCCTGATTACGGTAATGATAATTGCATTGATTTTAATGAATTGCGTATTTTTTTTAAAGAAATATGATAGTGGGAACTGGAGGTGTGTGAGGGAAAACAGGCCTTGAACTGGGGCTTCCTTTCTCTGGAGCCTTTCTTGTTCTTCTCCTCTCTTTTCCAAATTAGCTCTCCCTGCCCTTCCCCACAGAAAGACTATATTGTTCAACATGTATAAAAACAATAGAGATTTGAACAGGGCTTTCTTTTGTGGGAAGGGTTAGAGGTGGCCTATCTGTGGAGTTCGGTAGAGAACATTCCTTGCAGTTGCAGGTACAAAAGTCCCTTACATCGCAAAGAAGCATTTACACTAATGCAGTCAAACTGACATAAGTCTCAGGTGTTGTTTGACCTTTGCAATTCTGTACTAACTTGAAACCACAAAAACCAAAGCATTCAGAAAAAAAGCCACACAACTACATACATCCCTTCACACTCATCTACAACCACTCTCGAATAAACATAATCCCTAACAACCGAGCAAATCAACCACAGTCATCAAGGCAGTTGCAAATTTAGAGTTAGTGGGGTCCTGGGTGCAGTTTCATTTTCGGGGGCCCCCTCTCAGGACCTAGCCAAGAAAAGGAACATTCTCTCTCATCTCCCCCACCCCCATTTTTCATTTTTTTTCTTCATTCTCCTCCTATATTATAAGTAATAGGAAGTAAATGGAAAATAAAGTGGGGTACGTTGATTGGGGCAGGGGGTTGGGGTGCAGGAGGGTGTGTGGGGGTCAGGCTCAGGGACGGAGTTTGGGTGCGGGCTCCGGGCTGGGACAGGGGGTGGGGTGGGGTGGGGGGAGGGGTGCAGGCTCTGGGAGGAAGTTTGGGTGTGGGCTCTGGGCTGGGGCAGGGGGTTGGGGTGAGGGAGGGGTCAGGGGGGCATCACTTACCTTGGATAGCATGGCTCCCAATGCGACTGGCACACCCCTCTGGCATCAGCTCCTAGGCAGGAGGGGCTGGGGGCCTCTGTGCACCACTCCCACAGCTCCCATTGGCTGCAGTTCCCGGCCAAAGGAAGCTGTGGAGTTGGCACACGGGGTCGGGGGCGACATGTGGAGACACCTCCCAGGGGCCGCAGGGACATGCTGGCCGCTTCCGGGAGCAGCACAGAGGGAGGGAGGCAGTGCAGGCAGGGAGCCATCTTAGCCCTGCTGCTGGCACGTGTCTGTGTGCCCCTTGGGGGGAGGAGGGCAGCGAGTCTCCGTGCACTGCCCCTGCCAGCACACAGAGCTGCCTCTCAGGCAGCCTGAGCCCTGCTGCGCTGCCAGCTGGGACTCGGGGGCAGGTTGTGAGATGAGATTTGTCCTGCATTATTGGGGGCCCAATTCCACCACACTGTTTGTTTCATGATAAATCTGCCTCTGCATCAAGGGATGCTCGACAGCTTTCACTGTGCCCGTGGCATGACAGAATTTCTGGGGGTGAGAATTTATTAGTTTTTATTTGTATTGCAGACCTCCCAACAGTCCTGGGTTTTGTGGGACTGTCCTGCTTTCACCCACAAAATCCCCTGTCCCTGTTGAAGCAGCTCCTGTCCTGCACAACTGGCTGGGCTTGTCTCCCCACTCGGGGCTTTTCAACCTGGCCCTGGCAAGAGGGGTTGCAGTGCCACACAGGTTTGGCCTGGCCACCCTAATGGGGTGGGTGGGCCACATTTGACTGAGTGGCATTGCAATTCTGGTTGTATTTGGGGGCCAGGCCAAACCTGAGAAGCACTGCGACCCTGTGCACTGGGAGCCAAGTCATGATGCCTGGAGCAGAGTCAAGCCCAGCCAGCCCTGCAGGACAGGAGGTGCAGGAGCTGCTGCTGCTGTGGGGTGAGCGTGGGGTGAGCTAGCTCTTCCACTTTCTTCTCCCTCCCTTCCCCACTCCCCCCAGATGCCCTTTCCTGGTTCTCCATCCCCAAGGGCAAGACCTGTCCTGTTTTAGCTACTGGAAATGTTGGGAGATATGGTATTGGCTTTATGAGCTATAATACCTTGCTATTTGTGAGCAGCATTCAGTTGTTGGGCGGTTTGTAAAGTAAGCGTTACAGTTTGTTCGGTCAGGAAGAGCCCCATTAAACTGGTGGTGTTGTCTGGCTTGCCACAAGTGTGTGCAGCCTACTTCCTCCTTCACCTCCACCCACCTCTGTTAATCAAGGCATTAGGAGGTGGGATAGCACCACGGTTCTGCCAGCTCCCTGCCCCTTTTCTGCTCGCTTGCTCGTGGTGGTGAGCAGTGGCAATGCAGGGACTGCACTCCACAGGAGACTCAGAACCACAATCGATTCTAGCTGATCCTAACATGGCTGCTCAGGAAGGAAGGGAAAAGAACCATTATGTCTCCCTTTTCCTCTAGGTGCCCATGTTAGTGCTAATGATCACCTGGTGTTAATACGTCTTTAAAAGTTCTTAAGTTGAATTTTGACAATCAACTTTTATTAGGAAAAATCTAAACTGATGAGCTGTTCCTGCTTTTTTCCACCTGTAGGTTATGTTTCTTTGCGTAACAGGGAAAAAGGCTCTAGAATGATTGAAGCAATGGATGAGGTCTTTTCAGAGCAAGGCATGAAATGGCATATCGGGGATTTATTTACTAAAGTAAGTATGCAACAAAACAGGATAAAGACCTGCAAAGGAAAACTAATTGGGTATCTGCTCTTTATTGCTTCTTTGCCATGTATGAAAATAGGCTATAGGGTAGATAGGTATTTGGGGTGTTTTAAAGTTTTTCTCCTTTTTCACTTCAGAAATTTGGACTTTGTTTACACTAAAAGATTCTGAAGGGCAAAATTCACTCTTGTTCTGAGGACCAGCATAAGGTCTGTGCAGTACTCACATCTTTAAAATAGCACTCCAGTGGTATTTAAGTGATACATAGACCTTGTGCTGTCATTCTGTACAGGGATGAATTTCACCCATATGCAGCTGGTAAAATAGTGGAATTGTAATATTTCAAGAAACAAGAGATTGACAACTAAGCAATTGGAGAGGAGAGGGAATTTTTAATCTGATTGTTTTAAAGCTCTTTGAGTAACAGCTTATTTACCATCAACCCCTCAGACATACTTGGAAGAAAGGATGGTATGGTTAGAGTCACCACAACTGCTCAGTTTAAGAAAGCTCCCAATATGTGCCTGATACTTCCAGCAAAATCAGGGAAGACTAAACTTAGCATTCCTGATATTAGCAAGGCAAAAAAAACCCCAAATGTTAAAAAATAATACCCGCTCAGGTTTTCTTTATATAAATAAGCAACTGTAACAACAACAAAAAGGAACAACCTTAGTATTTTAAATTTCCTTTCGTGGTCACCCTTAATTACTGTGTATGTTGGGCCAGATCCTCAGAGCTACAGCAATTTACAAGAGCTGAAGATTTGGTCCATTAAATACATCTAAAGTAGTAAAGTTAATAGAGACCGTATATTTTACATGCACATGTGATACTATTGCTGAGTTGACGCAAGTGGCTTTCAATTTTCATTAACAATAAATAACATCAATTTCACTGTACACACACAAATCAATGAAAAAATATTTCCATTGATGATGATCAAAATTTAGAGGTAGGCAAAGTAAGAAAAATGCTCCTTGAGAAGTCAGAATTCCAGTGATTTAGACTTTTGAATTTGGCTTGTTACAAATGGACTAGCGAATAGTAAAAACAGGTCTGATTTGTTGATCTAAGGATATTTACTATATGATGTTGACAATTTGTGTTTTTAACTGTATATAAAATTTAACTTTTTGAATTTCAACCTCTGTTTTCATTAAATAATTATCTGATCGCTCCCCATAATTTCACACCACTGAAAATTTAAATTGATAAAATCTTTTAAAAATAAACATTTGATATTAGCCATTGAAATGATAAAAAAAATAAAAATTGAATTCTGGCAAGGCTAGCAATAAGATACTAAGAAAAGGTCAGCAAAATAAAAATCAACAAAATAATGTACATGACTGAAAACAAGCTGATTAAAATCATAGGATGCAGGATGGGAGTGGAATACATGGGGGTGGGGGATGCCCAGCCAAGGGCTGGGGTGAGTTGATTTTCACACAGACTCGCTAGAGAAGTAGTTGACATTAGGTCAGAGCCCAGTACTTTTCACTGTGGAGGCTTATGTTCAGTTAGCTTCTGCCCACTTGTCACCTTTCTGTAGTTAAAAACCTACAGCTAGAAGGACTCAGTGAAGTCTGCAGAGTTCACCTCAAATAGGGTAACCAGATGACAAGAACAAAATATCGGGACACATGGGGGGGCAGCCACAGGCTTACCCCCCGCACCAGGGTCGGCTCTAGGGTTTTTGCCGCCCCAAGTGGGAGGGGGGGAAAAAAAGCCGGAGTGCTGCCGAAGCAAAATATTGGGACAAATGGCGTCCCGACCGGCGGGACAAACAATTAAATATTGGGACAGTCCTGATTTTATCGGGACATCTGGTCACCCTAACCTCAGAGTTTCTGTTTAATACTCCCTTAAGGAGGAAGGGATTAGATGAGTCTCAGGCAGAAGAAACAGCTTCTAACCCAGGCATGGGCGAACTTTTTGGCCCAAGGGCCACATCTGGGGATGGAAATTGTATGGCGGACCATGAATGCTCACAAAATTGGGGGTTGGGATGTGTGTGGGGGGGTGAGGGCTCCGGCTGGGGGTCCAGGCTCTGGGGTGGGGCTGGGGAAGGGTGCTCTGGGCTGAGACAGGGGTTCAGAGGGCGGAAGGAGGATCAGGGCTGGGGCAGGGGGTCGGGTCCCAGGAGGGGGGGAAGGGGTGCAGGCTCTGGGCGGCGCTTACCTCAAGTGGCTCACAGAAACAGTGGCATGTCCCCCTCTGGCTCCTACGTGGAGGCTCAGCCAGGTGGCTCTGCACGCTGCCCTGTCCACAGGCACTGCCCCTGCACGCACGGAGCAGGTCAAGCCCCAGACCCTGCTCCCCGCCTGGAGCTCAAGGGCCGGATTAAAACGTCTGAGGGGCTGGATGTGGCCCCCAGACCGTAGTTTGCCCACCCCTGTTCTAACCCCTCACCAATCCAAAGGGAAAGGAACCTTTAAACCTGTGGAGCGGCCTCGCTGTGGTGTTGTTGAGTTTTGCCAACTCGCTAGACAGGAAGGAGCCACACTGTCATTGGCTGCTCCTTCCATGCAGTTCCCCCTCCCCCAGATGGGAGTGCAGAACAGATGCTTTGCCTCAAGTAGAGCTATTGCTTCTTGTTCATTTGTAGATGCAGATTTAGACAAGACACAAATGCTCCAGGACCCAAAGATGCATGGTCTTCCTTAGGGCTCAGCCTACATTCCTTCCCCCACCCCCACTCAGCCCTGTAACAGATTCTGTGTGTAGTAGCATCACTCACCAGTGAAGGTTTGGATAATGTTTTTATTTATTTTTTGATTAAGGTTTTATTTTTCAGATCAATAACAACCTGATGCACGAAACTTTTAGTATCCACGGATGCCCTGTGAAAGAGACAATAGTCGTGGAATCAACTCTGACCAAAGCTGTGTACCTTGCACCTTAACTGGTTGATCAGTGGAAGACTCACTGCCTTTTGAATTGCTCAAAATACAGACAGTGAATAAAAATAAAATAAATACAGATAATAAAGTTTAAATAGTCATCTTTTTCCAAATTATAGCAAAATTCTTTAGGATGTTCCTTTTAACTAACTAGCTTTATTACTGCATTTTAACAGCTATTTTCAACAACAGCATTTTTTTTTTCAACTAATAGTCCCATTTTTAGAAAGCACTTTTTTACAGGATCTTTGAAAAAACCCAGTTTAGGATCTTATATTTGTCTTCATTTATAAATAAAGTCAACCAGTACAAACAGTTTTATGTTGAGAGATCACTGGCTCCTTTTCCAGTTCTGCAGAGGGCATTTTCTCATTCCCTGTATGACTACTTAAAATTCCACCATAAAAACTTAAACGATAAGTTTATGGAGGAGATGGTCTGATGGGATAACATGGTTTTGGTAATTAAATATTCATGGTAAATAGGCCCAATGGCCTGTGATGGGATATTAGATGGGGTGGGATCCGAGTTATCCAGGAAAGAATTTTCTGTAGTATCTGGCTGATGAATCTTGCCCATATGCTCAGGGTTTAGCTGATCGCCATATTTGGGGTTGGGGAGGAATTTTCCTCCAGGGCAGATTGGAAGAGGCCCTGGAGGTTTTTCGCCTTCCTCTGTAGCATGGGGCCTGGGTCACTTGCTGAAGGATTCTCTGCTCCTTGAAGTCTTTAAACTACGATTTGAGGACTTCAATAGCACAGATATAGGTGTGAGGTTTTTTGCAGGAGTGGTGGGTGAAATTATGTGGCCTGCGTTGTGCAGGAGGTCAGACTAGATGATCATAATGGTCCCTTCTGACCTAAATATCTATGAATCTACATAGATAACATCCAACATCCAATCTAACATCCAACAAATCTTTTACAACAGCTTAGTCCTAAGTATTAGCCTGGGGAGTCTGTTCTAGCAGCAGTGCGACAGAGTTGTTTGAATGTTACCAATAATGTGTCCAGTAATTTCAAGGGTGTGGTGATGCTCATCATGTATCTGAAGAGAATAATGGGCCCAACCACTCTATTTCCAAGGCAAAATAAGCCTGCTCTTCAAGTCCATGGGAGTCTTTCCATTGGTTTCGGTGGATTTTGGATGAAGTGCTAAAAGGGGGGTGCTGTTCATAACATTGGAAGGGAGGGGGAAGATTCTTCCTATGTTGCATAGAATTCACTGTATTGGCTCAGATCAGGTACCCACTTATTCTACAGATTATTTGTTAATATGCATTGCTTTATCTTTACCCAGTTTAAATTTAATCTGTTCCCACGGCACCCAGGCCCACAACGTGTTTGGTTATCCTGAATTTTGCACTGTCAGTAAGTTTTATACAGTAATATATTAGTATTAAGAAGTTGAGATAATGATAAAGCTGTTATGTTATACAATGACATATTCTCATCATAAGGAAATGTGTTCAAATTTGGTCACAAACTATTTTAAAAAGGGGAGGCATAGCAGTAGTATGTTATCATATTGAACTTGACTTTTTAAACTTTATTATCTGTATTTATTTTATTTTTATTCTCCGTTTGCATTTTGTGCAATTCACATAAAAATTGTGAAGGAAATGGATAACCTGATGCTGAAGAAAACACCCAAATTTTAAAATGTTTGCGTCTCTCCCCGAGGCTGACCATTCCAATGATCTTATATGTATATGGTTTCCTCTTTGCGTCCCTTCTCCGTTTTCCTCTGTCACAAGGGAAGAAATGCAAGCATATTTTAAAATTAAAAATATGGCTTCTAATTTTGAATTATTAAACCAAATTAATTCTTATGTAGCACTGGGGAGGGGGGGGTTATTTTGGAGACAAATTTGATCCATGTTTTGTTTTCTCTGCAAGGTATCGCTGATTTTAGTAAACCAAAGAGCCACCAATATATGCTCTACCAACCTGAGGAGCCTGGTACCTTGTGATCTATGGGGCTTGAGGAGCAAAAAATGAGGAAAAAATAGAAAGGCATTAAAAGTACCCAGTCTATTTTTTTTAATCAACTGGGAAAGGAAAGAGACTAGAAAGACAGTAGAGGAGATGACAGAGATGAACCAGAACAGAAACATAAATAAAGTGGCCCTACCTTTTTTAAAGATTTAGTACCACTGATATACAGTGTGTATTGAATGTTCAGTATTCCATTGAAATGCTGATTCTACCAGCCATAAGTACCATCTTTAAGGCTTTAGAGCCTTAGGATATGTCCACCCCGCAATAGAAACTTGCGACTGGCCCACGCTATCCAACTCGGGTTCGCAGAGCTAGGGCGACTGTTTTATTGCTGTGTAGACTTCCAGGCTCGGGCTGGAGCCTGGGCTCTAGGATCCTGCTGAGGGGGGCGGGGGACAAGGGCCCCACAGCTTGGGCTCTAGCCCAAGCCCAGTAATCTATACAGCCCCATAGCCTGAGCCTTGCAAGCCCTAGTCAACTAGGATGAGCCAGCCATGGATTTTTTTCATTGCTGTGTAGACATACCCTTAGATATACTCCTTCTTGTCATCTTATTTAAGAGCAATTTCTTGGAAACCTTTACTTATATGAGTTGCCTCAATGATGTAAATTAAACTATTAACAAGTAAAAATTATTCCTAGGAGCAGGCATACTTGCATTACCCTAGTGTTTGTAGCAGGTATATAATATCAAATACACGTTTAAGAAGAGGGGCTATTTAACTCAACTGGAAAAAAGCAGATAGTTCAGGACACTTTTTTTCTTTTTTTTTTTTTTTTTTAAACCATCAATGACTACATACATTAGTGTTAAATACCGTGGCTTGGGGAACATCTGAAACTTCTGACTAACCAGGTGTACGGATTAATGGAAGTGCTATTCTGCAGTGCAGTGTCACTGATACAGAAATTGAGGGAACAGAGGGAGTAATGCCGATGTTAGCTTAATACTTTGTACTCTATTAAAAAGAGTTAAAAAAAACTTTGAGACCTGCTTTACAAATACAAAGCTGTTGATTAGTGCTTACAGGTGCAAAGAGGCAAATTGAGAAGTTAAGTGTGTGATGAACTAATGTAAGAGCATAGGATGGACACACTGTAGATTAGGATAGTTAGGATTTTTGGAAAAAAGGAATTTGGATAACTGGAATTCTACTGTATTATAAAACCTAGATAATAAATTCAGTTGATAGTCACGTGTCTTATACATGTCCATACGTCCCTGAGGACTTCAGTGAGCTGTAGGATTAAAAATAATAATGTTAACAACAGCCTTCCTTTTAAGGAAGCATATTATACATATGAAGCTCAAATTAATAAATTTAAGGACACTGAAATTATAATATTGTCTAAGCTTTTATACGAGTCACTACTATGATGAGTGAGAATTTTAATTGAAAGCTAAGTCCTCCCACCTACAATGTGAAATAATCTATTTACTAAGCTGCCTGAAGTATTTTCTTTCAAAGTCACTGATACTATATCGCATCAACTGCATCCCTGAATGGTTGTATTTGGCCCATTGTATTTTACAGGACAGGGTCAACAACAGAAGAATGTGAGGACTGGGGTGCACATGGAAGAGGTGCTATAGTGACTCTAAAAGACATTGTGGTCTTTGCAAGTCAATAAGAATCATGTATGTATTTGGAATATTTCATGAAGGTATTTCTTGAACTTTTCACCCACAAAAGCGTAGATCACTGGGTTCAGGCAGCAGTGGATGAAGGAGATGGTTTCAGTCACCTGCAGGGCCAGGTCTAGGCTTTTGCTCATCTCGCAGTCATCTATGATGTGCAGGCTTTGCAAGGAAACCAGAAAAATCACAATGTTGAAATGGGTCCAGAAGAGGAAAGACACAACTACAACAATGAAAACCAGCTTTAAGCTTGTTTCAGTTCATGCATCTCTGCAGGTTTTACAAGATGTGGGAGTAACAGATAATGAGAGTGCCAAAGGGGATCAGGAAGCCCAATATATTGACTTCAAAATTGATTAAAAGTTTCCAATAGTCCTATTATACGGGTAATAAGAAGCACATTTCATAATGTCATCTTCATTAAATTCTTGGATGAATAAAATATTTGGTACTGAAGCTAAAGTGGCCACTGACCAAACAGCGAGGCTTATAACAATGCTGAGCATAGTTGTTCGAACTTTCTGAGCATACACAGCCTGGACGATGGCTAAATACCTGTCTGTGCTCATTAGGATTATGAAGAATATGCTGCTGTAGAAGCCAATATAGTAAATTCCATGTATTATTTTACACGTTGGATTTCCAAAAGTCCATTGGCCTGAAGCACAATGAGCCAGAAAGGGCGGGGAGAAAACATAAAACAGGCCAGAGACGGCGAGGTTCTGCAAATAGACATCACTCAGCTGGTCAGTTTCTTGCAAACTACCAGAACACAGATGACCAAGCTGTTTCCCACCGAGCGGAACATGAACACCACACAGTAAAAGACTGGAAAAAATACTGATTCAAAGATCTCAATGTTCTCTGTCCTGCAGGTGGAGCCCCACTTGGAATAGTAATCATAAAAAGTAGACGACTTGTCTCAGTTGAATAATTCATCATGAGGTGACCTGTTCAAGAGCACAGAATTTAATACAACCCAACAATCCTATTGTTTAGTGAGTAATCTAAGCACAATTCTGCCCTGACACCTCACGCAAGTCAACAGGATTGCACAGGCTGTAAAGGGATAGAATTTGGCCCATGAGGACAGGCTAGCCTGTTCAGTTAAAAGAACATTTCACCCTCAAGCCTCACACAACACCTGAACCAAATCAAAGCTTTTTTTGACGTTTGAAAATATTTGGGTAACTTTTGGGTTTCATTAGATTTATTTTTTGTGAGCATCTCCACTTTCAGTTATTATTGTCAAAATCCCACGAGAAAGGTTGTTCCGCAGTGTTTAATTTGTGTCAGGGCTGAGCTTCGTCACTTCAGGGCTTGGCAGTTTGTAGCCTCAGCACTTCTGGGCTTCCTCTTTCAGTTATGAAAATAAAAAAATTGCTTGCACCCTAGCACCTAATTGCTTGAGCCTCAGCACCTCTTTCATTGCATATTAAGCACTGCTGTTCCCAAACCATTTCCATGAAAATGAAAAGAGGAAATACTGGGAAGCCCATGAGATAACTTCTCGCAGGGTTTCCTACTCAGTTTTACAAGCGATGCAGAGATGGCGACAGGCTAGCATTGGGGAGACACTGGATTTATGACTTTCCTGTCTGGTGTGTCAGGGATGTGATGTGTTTCCATGAAAAGGGGAACACCAAGTAGTATGTTAGTGAGCAGAAGAATTTTGAGAGCCTGGTTACCTAGAAAATTGCAATGAGGCCTAAATCCTGTCGCCAGCGCTCAGCCTGAAAGAATGGTACTCATGGGGATTCCCATTCACTGTGCATCCTGTTGAGCAGGTTAAGGAACCAGACTGACTTCATGGTGCATAATTAAAGCACCAATAAAACTGAGGTAGTGAACATGCTGAGCACCCTATTGTTTATCATTTCCTTGTTTCTAAATGATATTCTAAACTATGCCCTCCCACTTTTTACCGGTTGTAAGGCGAGCAACAGGGGGCAGGAGGTGGAGAGGAACAAGTGAGGGATGTGGCCTCCAGGGAAGAGGTGGCGTGAGTTCAGGGCCACAGTTTGGGCACCTGTGGCCCCCCCACTTTTAGGGAGCTTCTGTCACTCCTGAGTCTGGCTTACCTGTGTGTTAGTATAGTTGAAAGAGATATTAGAGTTATATCAATGTGCTTAGTGTTTCGACTTTATAGAACGCTTGTAGGATGCTGCGTATATTAATCCTACTTACAATATCTTGTTGTGTATCTGAAGTTAACAACAATTCGAGATTGTTGAATAACAGGCTCAAAGATTATCAATCAGAGATTAGTACAGCACTACACAGAATTCAGAAAGAATGGAAATATTACCACCCTTTGATGTGATGATGATTGATGATGAAGAGCTGGCTATGTGTCTCTCCTTCAGCGTAACTGGAGGGACTTGCAGTTTCATTCCCTAACTAAGTTCCAACACCACTGTTATTATATAAGTTTTTAAACAAAGAAATCTCTTTGTCGGAAGAAACATATGTTCTGATGTCATTTCTATACATGCTCAGTTTACCTGATTTATGTTATGTGTGAAGGCATAATTATTTACAGCTGAAAGGACTAACAATTCTATAAGATAATAATAGCTTTCAGTGGCTTTTTCTTCCCCCATAATCATTCTTCCCTATTGATTCCCCAATAGGAAACATCAGCTGTAACAATCATCCCTCATCATATTTCCCAGGTTTATATATGCTTATGTACTCATTATATATATGTGTAAGGGAATGGTTTCCAAGAACATCTGGAGTTCTATAGGTCAAAGAGATTATTAGATACAGTCTAATGCATAGAATTCCTGAAGAGTTATTTATTGGTCAAGGACAGTGGCACAGGAGCTAGCAAACAGAGCTGTAAACAGGGGAGTTTGAGTGGGAGTTTGAAAGGGGAGTTTGCATTGTGGTGCTTGTTTGGAGTTTGT